TGCAGGGGCTCCACGGTTTCGGCAGCAAGCCCGAGCCACGCGCCGCCGCCTCTCCTGCCAGCACGTTGGGCCACTGCTTCTCCGGCGGCGGCAAGCGCGCGGCGGCGTCGAAGGCACTGGGCTTCTCCCGCCCGCCCGAACCCAGCGCCAGGGCGCTCCATGAGCCCTCCGTCGTGCTAGTCCTCTCGGGGGAAGACATGCCCCGGGACGCTTTGAAAGGGCTCCACCGCTGCTCTGCCCCCCCGCTGCGTGCCGGGACGGCTGGCAGGGCTAAGCCAGCGCCGGGCATGGCCACCGTGCCGGGAAGGGGCTCGATGGCAGGAGGGTCTGGAGGCTCCTGCTTGATGGGCCGGCTGCTGAAACAGTTCTGTGCAAACGACGGCGTCTCCTCCGAGCCCGAGCTAGTCCTGTGCGCCCCGGCCGCCGCCGCCTTCTGCTGGCTGGCGTAGCGGTTCGCCCGCTCGTAGGTGCGCTGGTGATGGTTTTTGCTCCGGACGCTGTGCGGGATGGGCTCGGGGAAATCGGAGTTCCCATAGGTGTGGTTGAGGCTCTCCTGCAACGCCGGGACGTCGGGCTTCTTCTCGTAGCCGTTGCTCACCCAGCTGCTCCCGCTCCTCTCGGGCACCCCGTAATTCAGAAACTGTGAGGGGAACACGTGGTTGCTGGAAAAGCCGTAATACCCAAAGGAGGGAAGCGCAAACTTGGAGTGAAACCCGTTCACGGAAGGCAGATTGGGCTGTGCATAGTAGGAATGGTAAGAGTAAACACTGTTCATGCTGTACGGGTCGGAGGGCCGGCAGCTGCCCAGCACCGAGTAGCTCTCCACCACCGCGTTGCCGTTGTACTTGAAGGCGTTGTAATGGCTCTGTGGCTCCACCTTGATGGAAGGTTTCAGCGGCTGCGGGGGCAGCCCGCTTTTCAACGCCATACCTGCGGGCACAGCACACACACACAGCCCCCGTGACCCACCGGCCGAGGAAGCCGCCGGTGGAGAGCGAGGACCCCAAAAACTCAGCCAGACTCGGAAATCTCACAGTGATGGGGCTTAACACCGGCCGAGCACGGAGGTCAGCAGAGCCCGGCACGCTGGCACCGATCCACACCCGCGCTCCGGGTTGCGGCAAGAGCTCCCCCACCGCACCACCGTCCAGGAAAACAACCCAGGCACCACAGAGATGCCATCCCGCACCCCAAAACACCGAGTGCTCAACGGCACCACCCTGAGGAAGCCCCCAACCGCATCCCTGTCCCCTCAACACCTTCCAGACAGCGTGGGGCGGCAGGACCTCAGCTCTGCCCCCGTTACCTGCATTCTGCTGGAGCATGGGGAGCTCAAGCGCTTCCTGCTTGAACTTCTCCGGCGTCATCAGCTTCTCTTTCTGCAGCTTCTTCTTCTCCGCGGCGGCTTTCTTCGCCTCCAGCTGCCTCTGCCGGCAGGACTTGGCGGGCTCGGGCAGCTTGCGGACCTCGCGGGGGAAGGACGTGAGCACCTGGATGGCCCCGCTGCCCACCTTGGCGTTTTGGTTCTCCTCGCTGCCGAACTCATCCGTGCTGGACATCTTGTAGAGGGGGAGGACGTGCAGTTGCTCATCTTCGGGGATTTTCCCCACCACGCGATTGTCTTCCTTCGTCAGCGTGCAGACCTGGGGGAGCGCAGGGTGCTGTCAGCGCGACGCCGATGAACGTGGCCCGTGGGGGACAGGGCTGAAACCCCCTTATTCCTCGAAGGGGTGTGAAGCCACACTAGCCTGGGACCCCCCCACCCCACCCCGGCCACCAGCCAGTGTTGGGAAACGTCCCGCGGGGTTTGGATTGGGCAAAACCAAACAGGGTCCACGTTAGCACCGTGCTTTAGTCTAGCTGGGGCGGCTCCAGCACCCCAGACCTGAGCTGCTGGGTATGGAGCAGAGGACCCAGAATACAGAGTGTGCAACTGCAGCAGAATTCAGGACGTGTTGCCTCTATGATACTTGTGTACAGTGATTCTCTGTTGGTGTAAAAATCTCAATTGTGGGTTTCTCCTGGGAGATTAGAAATTATTTTAAATTTTTTAAATTTAAAAAAAAAAAAAAAAAAAA